TCTCAAAACCGCCCATAACTGCCCACTAAGATGATGGATGACACCCCCATCCACCTAGGGTCGTGCTGGCACCCTCTAAATGAGCCAGCACTATAATGCAGTTGACAAGCCCAACTGCTAGACTTGTTGGCATGTTCTGCTCATGCCACATAACCACAAGAAGTTAGATTCTGCATAGTGGAGGAAACCACCCTTAACTGCCTGTGTGTTGGTCCTCTCAGAATTGTGCCACGTGTTTGGGAGATTACTCAGCACTCCCCCACTTCCCATGATGAGTGGGAAGTGCTAGTAACTTCCCCCAACCAATCCAGCCCACTAAGCCACCACCTCTTGTAACCGCAAGCCATGACTTTGTGTTATCCATGCTCTAGCCACATCTGAGTCAACCTTGTGAACCTAGCCCAAGTCCACCAATCTGCACCCACATACATATGTCTCTGAGTGCACGGCGTGCCAAGCCATGCACGCCCGTGCGCACGCTCGGATGCACACCAAAGTGCACGCCGGCGCACACACTAGTGCCCTTCTTCGCGCGCCATGTTTGTACCCTCATGCGCCCGTGGCTATACGCCCACCTGGACGCCCATGTGCACGCCGAGCTAGACGCTCGCGCACACTAGGTTGGACGCCTACCCGCGCGCCCACCTGCACGCCCGCACGCTCGCCGCTGCACCCCATCGCGCGTGTCGGTGCACACTTGTTTGCCCTTCAATATCTTGGATGCTCCTCACTTGTGCAACCATCTTGGAGTGGTGCAACACGTGCCCATGCACGTTGGCTAAGCCCTCTAAGCAAGCCATGCCATAGCCTAACCGATACGCTCAACAGACCCCCCCCCTAATATAGTCTTAAGGAAATCCAGCACTCTGACAGGAGTAAACATCAACCATGCTTGAAGAGTCATAATGGCCTTTCAGACCTTTCCCGACATTCAAATTGAGTGCCGTCTGCGCCAACCAGCTTTTATGGACTCAAGGTATCTCCCATAAAGATCCCGAGTCAAAACTCCAAGTTTCACTTTTCGCCATATTTACGAAAGTGCCACTGGGCACCCCCAGTGCACGCCGAGCATCCTTTTAAGCATCTTGTGTGCACGCTGAGCAACTTGTGCACGCTGACAACCCACTGAGCACCCTCATGGCTGTCTAATCAAAGCCAAAGTATTCCTAAGACATGGCATGGCCTTGAAATGCCCATGTATTCCCTTGGATAACCGTCAAGGGGCTAACAGGTGACCAGATTGATACTTTGCCATGTGGTCTCATTGTTATTTCATTCGTGAATCCAATTACATCTGTAATCTACCGTTTTCCCTATTTGATTTATTAAAATTTATCTTTGCTAAACGTATAATACAATTATCAAATGAATCAAATTTTAAAATTGAGGAAAAAGTTAGTATGGCTTTTCCAATGCAGGAACCTAAATGATGTGTGTGGTTTGATTTAGGGTAGATACAGAATTTTCAAATTATGTGAAAGTTCATGGTGGATAGCGAATGGGTTGATTGTTTGTTTAAAAAAAATAAAATCGCTATTCTGAAATGTCTAATATATAGATTGATTCACACAATTAAATTATTTATTTAATTTTCATCTCTTACTTTATTTCCTTTCCATTTAATCAATCAATAAAATAAACAAAAAACAAAATTTTTATAAGATGTGCAAGTCCAAATCTAAAGCTGTCATTAGTTTAGTAGAAATAAGTAAAAATAATAACTAAGAAATCAAAAGAGCAAAATACCTCTATATATAAATACACATATATATATCATCTTGGTAATGATTTATATATGTTTCAAATATTTTATTTGAAAAAGTAACGGAAACAATTTTGGGACCGAATTGAACTTATATTTCTTGGTTTGTCATGGTTCCTATTTATACCATAACTATCGACAATTTTCAGTTGAAAAGGTTGCCATGACGGATTCCTATAAAAGGGTGGCCGTTTTCAATGGAATGGTGATATGTAGATAATGATGCAATCATGAAGCTACACGCGACTTCATTACAGGAGGCCATCTGGTAAAAGTGGTTGCTAAAAGGGACATGTGGCAAGGAAAGACGCATACAATTACCTATAGTTGGAAAGTACCTCCTTAATGGGACACGCTAAGGAAGGAAACAGTTACTTGCGATTTAAAGGCGTACAGTTCTAAAACGTTGCTAAAAGCCTTCAATTGGCATTGAACTACCAAACCCATTCCTCCGAAGTTGTAATTTATGGGAGAGCGTGTAAAGTGTCAACATTATGAGGAGACTAAAAAAGTCATGGGACATGCAGGACAAATCGGACGTTCCACGTGAAAGCATATTGGTTGCTGTTGGAATTATCTGCAGCAATTGCCGTTAGAGAAACTTTATAAATAGAGCACTTTTTTGTAACTTAGAAACCATGTTCAACACACACAGTAACTGTGAGTTATGCAAGATATGGAAGTTTGTATTAAAAATAACCTAAATGGGGGCTGAGTAGGTTTTATTTGTTTCTTTATCCAAGTTTTACTTATTTTAATTTTATCAAAATAAAACTAAAATCAAACCCAAAAAGAAAAAATAAAGTGCAAGTAAAGTAAATAAATTTTGAAAAATGGCACCGGGATTTTTAGCGAGGAAACCCCGACTAGTGGAAATCAACCAATTATTATGGGAAAATCCTCATGGGCTACGTTATCCAGAGCAAAACGATCCACTATATTTAAAGCAAAATACATCTCACTTTGACTCAGGCTCACACCCCTTCACTCTACAAAGACTCAACTTGCTGAACGCCATCGGCTTTGTGACCTCCCGTCCAACAGCTCAAACTTCAGGCTTATTCATTGAACCTATAGAAGGATTTCTGGTTGATCAACAACACTATGTGAATGCCTTGACCCCTTCAAAGTTTATTTGAATCACCCATTTTCTTCAATTCTGAATTTGATGAACAATAATTAAAATCATGCTTCTCGGAATCTCTAAATCTTCAATTATGTTCCAATTCTGATCAGATAGAGAACAACACCCTTAAATCACTCTTGTGTTTAAGTGTATGATCTAAAAAAAAAAATCAGAAAAATCAAATTGATTTTCTGGATTAAAAATATCTCTCAAAGGCTTTGTCAAAATAGTTGAAAAATTACGTTTCCAAAAAGCCGTCAAACCTTAAGTGAGAAAATATTTATTTATAAACTTTTGAAAGCCTAATTGTACTTGGAAAACAAGTCAATTTCGTACATGATCAATATAGCAAAAGTCAAGCCCAAACAGAAAGTTACCGTTTTGGTCTGCAGAAGTTGAACTGGTTCAGAAGGGTTGAATCGGTTCAAGTTGGCTAGAAGTGAAATTTTGAAAACCAATTTTGAAAGTTGAACCGGTTTAGAGGGGTTGAATCGGTTCACATTGACCAGTTTAGAAATCCTTTAGGAGGCCTTTAAAAGTTGAACTGGTTAAGAGTCTCTGAACCAGTTCAAATTTGACAGAATAGAAAACAATACTTCTACTTGTTTTTTTTTTTTTCCCCCTAAAAGCCTAATTTTGAAGCCATGCATATATCTTCACACACTTACTTACCTTTCTAATGCTTTGTTCTCATAATCACACACTATATCAAAATATGAACACGATCGCTTCTTCAATTCCGCTTTCGATCTTGAGTCTTGACAAATCGAAAAAAAAAAAATTACAACTCGATCAGACTCATTTTGACAATAAAATTTGCCAAATTACAAATTAATATTTCACAACATCACTTCAATTTATTTTTCAATTATTACAATTGTTTTTAATTATCCTTTAAATTTTCGCAACATATTTCAATTCCTTTCATTAATGCAATTTATCTTGCAGCACTATACTTTCCAAGTCCTGCACTCTCATTACTTTCCTTTCAACAAATGTCATTCAATTCCTTACTTTTACTTCATCACTTCAACTTGGTTCCTTTCCAGCCGTAAGAACATTTTGAAGTCATTTTAAATAAAGGTAAAAAGAACTTTGCGAGAGTGGTCATTCCAAGTTCTCCACAATCGTCTGAACCTCAAACCTCTCACAAGTAGATTTGGAATATAATTTGGCGCTATTCCATGTCTATTGAATTATCGGCGAATTCTGGCGCCACCTTCGGACCTTTTCACTTGGAACAGTAAGATATTTCCAGCCCAAATAGTTTCATGTCTCAACAGTTTCAGTTTCAGTTTCAAAAAATTTAATAACTAATGTTATCAGTTTGATTCTAATTTAGCTTGGAACCGTATTGAATTATTGGCAGCTGCTATATGATAATGCAGGGGTGAACTCTGTACATTTACACCTCTATACAAGTAATGTTACATATTTGGCAATAGGTTTTTTGCATGACTTTAATTACTCAAGGACTTTTAGTCAATGATAAATAAAGATGGATTCTCTCAACTCTCAAAATGTTTAAATAATATCAACTCGGGCCTTTTATCATTTTTTTTTTTAGTTGGTCATTAAATTACAGGACAATGTTAGATGATTGGGAAATATGAGTGGGACCCATTAATTTTTTCAACATGTGGGAGCAGCGAATGCCTTACATTTGAAATCCAAGAATATTTAATTTAAATTTTTAATTAATTTTTTTCCAATTACAAATTCAAACCATTCAATGCACAACAAATTACAATAGGAGGGTGTACAAAAACAGATTTATACATCAAAATGGTAGGCTATGTATTTTTTACTACTAGAAGATTTCAGGGGCATACGTTAATGACACTGTTTAAATTTTGGAATCTTCCTCAGTTTCCTTTTCCCTCCAACAGAGAGATCTTTCCACCACACAAACAAAAGTAGAAAGGTTTTTCATTCGCTTTGTTTCGTATGGTTAGAAGGAAAATTATTTCTGAAATATAAAAGTAAAAATTAAAGTGAATGAAACTTTTTATTACCATAAAGTATAGGAAGATTTCATTTTAAGAGTGGGATTGTACAAAAGGTAAAAGAAAATGTCTGCTTTACTTATTCTTTATTATATAAATACTACAGTAGCAAGAAACACCGTCGTTTCATTTTATTATAATTAATAAACCAAGTAAGCAAATGAATGTTATATGAGTAACACCTATTACGGGGAATTACATATATTATATTCGAAGTTTACAAATTATTCAAGAATTCAAAGTGACTAACCGTAAAAATATTACTCTAATAGGAATGAGGCAGTAATTAGATCCAATTGATAGATTGGACAAATGTGTAGGGTACAATTTCTTTACCCATTTTGAAGAGAGAGAATTTTGACAAAGAATTATTCTTCTTTTTGCTGCGACCGTTAAGACTACCCACATATAGAGGGTTCACACAAGTCCCTGTGAGTAGACGGGACTATCGCAACAAAAAGCAGTTGACCAAATCTATAGGGGTCTGGCTCCCACAGGGCACAACACTTGACCCACACAGGCCCCTGTACGCTGCAAAGTTGTTTTTCATTCAGTGTCACAGTCCAAAAGAAATGGAGATATATTTTATTACAGGTCTTATCTATCCAAATCTGAAGAATTCACAATCAGAGCAAAGTGTCACTACAGTTTTGATAGACCACGCATCAATATACTCTGGTACACATTAGGGTTCGGTGTCATTCAGTAAAATTATATCCACAGCAACCATAAAACAAAGTGCATCATGATTTTTTCATTGCCTTTTTCTGGTGAATTTGAAATATTTCTATGTTTATTCAATTTCTTGTGTACCTATCATATGGGTTTTGCTTCCAACCAACGGCTGTAGAAATCCAATGACTCCCGTGGCTTATATTCAGGTACAGTGTGCCCTGCCCCCTGTACAATTTGAGCACAATAACATTAGATGATTGATGATGATAATAATAATAATATATTTGTGAATAATGTTTACTCAAGAGTCAAAACCAATAACTAAGCTAAGCAAACAGCGAAAAAAAGAAGATATTATTCGACCATGTGTTGCATTCATATAGATCCCAAATGATGTTATTCGTGCAAGTCAATTTTATTTTGGTCTGGATAATTGATAATGTTAGCAAGGTCAGCATCAACAAAAAAGCTTAAAACTTTGCGGAAAAAAAGGATATATCCAAAATCATAATAATTTGACCCCACTAGGTTTTCATATTGTGAATGTAATTTTTAGACCAATCTACTTTGTAAGCAAGATTATTTGGGAATTTTTATTTTTAGTGCAAAATCAGCCGATCTAAATACAATGCAACGATTCTCAAAATCATAGAGTTAATACACAATGTTTGGTTGTTTTTGTCAGAAGCAAAATGCAAAATTTAAAAAATATGTCCCATCTATACCGCGGCCTAAGTGAGAGAGACAAGATACGGACAAAATCTTTTTGTATTATTTAGTATTTACACACCGTGGTTATTCTGTCTTATTCTTGTCAATTCAGGTTCTTATAATGAAATTTTTTTCTCAGGCCGAACTGACTTGAGCCGAGTAGACACAAGCTTGGGACTATGTCTACTTGGCTCCAGCCAATTTTTACTTGAAAAGTAACACTCTTTTATAATTGCACCAAGAAATGACCTCTTGAATACTTCTAAGAAATACCTCTAAAACAATAAATAAAAAATGCAATTTCTGACATACAGACCTTGATTGTGAGATAGATAAGGTTGTTAGCATATCCTTGTGTGTACCTGCAATAGATAAAAAATAATCCATTTCTTTGAGCAGGTTAGCCGTAGAATTAATGTGATCAAGGGCCATAGAAAGAAAATTGAGAGAGAGAGAGAGACATACCCAGCAACTTGATCATTAGACTCCCAAGACCTCCATTCATCCAAAATCTGATATCCAAGTGAACTGGTCCATGCTTCACTCCCAGTGTGGGGAACACACATATCGTGATCTCCACTGTAACAAAATTATATAAGCATGAAAATGCAAATACTTAATTTCAGGAAACATATATTTTCTACATCTTTGATACATTCATTAATTCTCACCAAAGCATCAAACCAAAAATAGGAACGTGGCATTCACACTTGTACTCCACACGTCTGTTTGTGTTATTCCCTACTCAATTTTGTAGGTTTGCACTTCACTTTATTTTTTTATTAATGAAATGATGCAATTACCCCCTCAGAAGCATAGTGTAAGCTAGAGTACTTTTTTCAGTAATTGTAGATTATGAAATAAAAAATAATAAGAGTACAAGTGTACAATATTCGAATGTGAATATCATTTTCTTATACATATCTAACATATTTTACCTCAAACGCGTAATTATAAATATATAATTTTACGTGATTATATATTAAACTCCATTTTAGTCTCATTAATCTTAATCTTAGTTATATATGAAATAAAAAGGAGAGTACTTACCTGAATATAAGCACACGATAACCCTGAATGGTGAGGTTTTTGTGGTATTTAATCATGCTTCCAGCATCATGGTTGTAATAGAGGTCATTACATAAGTTCCAAGGTCCACTTTCCTAATTTTAACAAGAAAAGAGGAAGTGGAGTGACATAATTAAAGGATTCGAATTTAGTTTTGAAGAAGAACTACTACAATAGAGATTTCAAGTATTAACAAGTAGCTAGGAAGTGCACATACTGGATTTGCATGAATTGCTTTCCTAACTTCATCATTGTTCAGCCACACAGTTGCTATTGTATCATCCTGTATAATTGTATATAAAACAATTAATAGAAACAAAGAGTTTTAATGCACTCTTTAGCACTACCAAATTTGTTATTAGACATGGAAATGAAGACATTTTTTTTTTTTTTTTATCATGCAAGAGAATTCCAAAAAAGGAAATTAATTACAAGTAAAATATTAAAATATACTCACCTCTCATGTGATAAAAGTGATATACTATAATTACAAACTTTTCCCTGTTGATTAAAAATTACACTGATGGACTGATCAACTTCCTTTGGAATCATTACTTTGTAACAAATTCTCGTTTATTGTTAACGGTCAACAAGGTGACGGGACCTTATCAAGAACAAGGTGAAAGGACAATTTGTTTTAGTCAGCAAAGTTAATTGCAAAACACCAAATTTTTCTATCTTATTAACTTGTAACTCCACTTTTCAACTAACATATTATAATAATTACTATCGACAAAAGGTAAAATTTCACTTGCTCTTAACACGTCAAACAAAAAATTGTCTAACAAGAGAAGTCAAAAATAATTTATGAATCTATACATAACCATGTTATGTAATTTACCTTAACTGAAATTAAAAAATTCACATCTATCCGAAAGATCTTCTTAGGCTACTCCTCTTTCTTTCTTTTTTCCCTCTGTTTTTTTTTTTTTTTTTGAAAAGCTAAGCAAAATTTTTAGGCTCCTTTGAGCCAATGTCAAACCATATTAGTGAGAGAGAGTACTCACCATGCATGGAACACCACTGACTTCTGCCATTAACTGAGGCCACGATTTCATAATGCCATCTCTTGCTGGTGCTCTGAAAGGCCACGCACGACCAAACATCCTTTTTCTCACTCCAAGAGGCCTCTCAGTACTATTTCCTAATTGCTTGAAGCTTAATGGTAAGCTGCTTGTGCTTCCATTTACATCATTGTCTTTTCCACTTGGCATGCCATGGTAGCAAGGCTCAAGGATGTTGTAAATGTTTAGACCAGCCAATGCCTACCAATTATTTAGTCATCCCAAAACAAGTACAAAATTAATTAGACAATTATATATGTGTGTGTGTGCGCATATACACTCAATTACCAATTTAATTAAAGTATTTCTGTAATTACTTTGAGAAAATAAATGATATAGTGTTTTGTTTTAATTTCAAAAGTAATACAATTTTTTCATAAATATATCAAAAACAAATATAGTAAAAAACCCAATTAATCATAACTGATACATTATCTTTTGATACAACAATACAGGCCTACTCACTGGTGAGGAAACCCTCCTCCAAACCACTGATTTTTCATAATTATAGAATGACCCGTGACCATTTTGAATTTTAAATATAAGAGAGGGAAAATTATGATATATATATTTTATAATTTTCTTTTACATATTTAAAATTCAAAACAGATATCTCCATTCTATCATTGCACGACATCATCAGTGTGGGTTTCTCCCACTGGTGAGGAGGCAAGTATTGCTCCTTTTGATATCTTAAAAATACACAATAATATGAGGTCGCTCTAGCAAAGCTCACACCCTCTTAATCGTCAATGGTGGTTGTAGAAGTGTGCCTCTCGATCCAACAACTAAGATGGAGTGAGCTTAGTGAGAATGCCCTCGTGGATAGAATTGCTATTATATATATATGTATATATATGAAATTAAAGAATTTGTGAAATAATTAAGCCAACTTACACTGTAGATTTTTTGAAGTATATTTGAACATCTCTCACCGTTGGGATCATAGTAGTTACCTTTGCAAGCCGATTGAGCTTCCTACAACAGCTTTATATCATGTAATCTTCCAAACTTGTTTTTAAAAGCAGGAACTACAACACTTGGAACTAAATGGATATTATAATTATTTTGCAACAAACAAGTAGACGGACATATACATGGTTAGACCTCAGTTTCATCCAAATTATTCTCATATATAGGAATGAGTCTAAATTAATTCATAATGATCAAAACTTTGAAATGGTTAGTTCAGAATCAAAATGGATGATAAAGTGGTAAAGGCTTAATTTTTTAAGATGATCCATACAACATTCAAATTATATATATATATCTGTTTCACTGACCTCAAACATAGCATCTGAGATTAGGCTCATCCCATGTGCAAATGGGACAAGAGCATTGTCATCAAATTCTTGGTCACAGGCCCCATTTCCTATCATGTAACCCTGCACAACGCGATTCAGAGCTCATCGAACCATGTACATATATATATATATATATATATATATATATCCGTATAACCTAATTCTTGAATCTGGAGAGGCTAAAGTCACAAACCTTGAAATTAATAACGGGCTTCATACCACTTCTGATTCCTGTCAATAAGGTCAATTATTGTTGCACCAAAAAACTCTATCATAGAATTAACATGAATGTGTTACCATATATGTGAGTATATATTACCTTTATCTACATTAGAAGTAAGAGTTGGAACATAAACTCCAGCCCAAGACTCTCCCGCAATGTAAAATGGATTGGAAAGGAACTCCGGGTATTGTACAAACCACTAGTTTCAAAAAAATTAGCACAAAATTATTTGATTGAATTCATCTTGAATTTTATCTTGAATGATTCAAGAATTAAAGTTATACCTTGAGGAGAAAATTGTGTGTGTCTGAGGCTGTTTGTAAGTCCCCAGTTTTGTATATGGTGGTGTTTTCAGAGTAAGAAAAGCCAACACCAGCAGGGGAGTCCAAGTAGATGATGTTGGAAACCTAAGACAAGAATATGAAAAGCATACATGAGAGATTTTGAAATAATGTGAGAAGAAATTAAGTCAGGAAAAACGAAATATATCAATATGAAATCATGAATCATTTTGGTTCATGTCACCGAAAGGATAATAAAAAAATCATAAGACAAAATGAAAAATCATTGTAAAAGATTTATATATATTTATCCAACCTTAGACCAGCTATATGGATTCAAATGTAAAATGGGCAGGCTTCCTTTAGACTTTCCAGCTTCAAAATTGAATGGTCCTGCAAAATAAGTAGTGTAATCCTAGTAAAAATTTGTGATGGAAAAAAGGCATCATAAAGTTTGTTATATTTTGTTTTTTAATTTACTCTGTTCTGAATTGTAATATATATGAATGGATTGAGAATAGGCCTACATTCATGCAACTTGATATATGAGGTAATTCATGTGACTTGATACACAATGCAGATTGAGTACTAGCTCTAATTAGTGAAACAACCCACTATACAAAAAGTGGTGCTTTTGCAAGTATCATTGAATCACTCAATCATTTCATTCTAAAAACTTCTCGCCCACCCTTCCACAACCCCAGTTAGGCTTTCTAATATTGAGATAGAAGGCACCAAAAAAGGACCTAACCTTTGGGATAAGGCATTTTTAGAGATCAAGTTTTGAATGCATTATAACAAAGTTCATAGACAAATATATGTGATGATCAATTCTACGTAGAAAAACACAAGTAATGACATGAAAAAAAAAAAAAATTTGAATCCACTTTTAAGAATTAGAAAAAACAAAAATAGAGAACATGAATTTACAAGTGTTAAATTTTAATATCAAATCTTCATGAATATTAAAAAGCAGTACCATGTTCATAAACAAACCCATCAAAGCTAGAGCAACCTGGTCCCCCATTGAGCCACAAAACAACAGGATCATTTGATGGGCTTCTTTCGGACGCGACAAAGTAGTAGAATAGATTCTTTGGAGGATTCCCATCTATGGTGACAAACCTTCAACATCCCAAGTTACAAGAAATATCAACACTACAAAACACAGCGTTAATTTTCATTTAATATATAAAAACTTTCCATGAGACATACCCTGAGTAGTGCTTTGAAGGGAAAGTGCCACTGAACCCTGGAAGGTTTGTAATCAGAGCACCTTCAGGAGCTGCTTCAGTAACACCAAAACACAAAAGCATGCAGAGTACTGTTACACTGTAAAAGATTGACTTTGCCATGGCCATGGCCTAACAAAATCTTTAGGATAATTCTTATACAAAAGAAATGAACTACAATATATATGCAGTTTAAGATCAGAGAGAGAGAGAGCGAGTTTTAATAAATTAAACAGATAAAGACAATGGATGGATGAATTAAAAAGGAAAGAGCTTTAATAAACCATCAACGAACGAGGTTTGATAAACAAAACAGCTGGGAAGGACACAAGATAAGAGGAACAAGAAAAGAAAGAAGGCAAAAAGTAGTCAAAGAAATAGAAAACAAAGGGAAAGAAAAAGTTTCAGCATGATTTTTTTTAAAAAAGACAAACACAAGTTTCTTTGGCCGGCTGATGGGTTGTCCTTTCTTTATCTCCAATGATATGTGAATGCACTGTATAGACACATTAAGAAAAGGGTCTTGTACTTTCAGGATTCATATTCCACATATACTTTTGGAATCACTTGCAAAAAAAAAAAAAGGAAGATAAAAGATAAAGAAAGAAAAAAGAAAAAAGAAAAAAGAAAAAAGGACAATCCAAGTCCAGTTGGTGAAACCATTAATACCTCAACTCAAACGAAGGTTGAGAGTTCGAGTTCGAGTTCGAGTTTGGGTTCTCTTATGAGAAAATACTATTGGAGTGTAGTGGTTTACCTGAAAAGTCTAGTCAGTGAATATTCAGGAATTTCTGATAGACAATCCCATGAGACAGAATAAGGGAATTTCAGTGGCAGTAGTAAATTACAAGGCAATGAGAGGGAAATGATTGGGAAATGCACGTGGGACCCATTGATTTTTCACATAAAAAGGAAGAGTATATTATTAAAATGAATTAAACTTGTGTCTGGTCCAAGTTCAGATCAAAGCCAGTCTTTTTTAAATGCAATATTATTATTGGACTTTCCAGATTGCAATATCTATTATTTCATGAATCACGAGCCTACAAATTGAAAAGGCCAAACTTATTACTTCAAGAATAGAATACTTTATTTGGAATATGCAACACTTCTATTACAAATTAGAGAGTGTTGCATTCTTGAAGTAAATTGTATCACATTCTCAAAGCAACGATATAGCATTCTAAAAACAACTTCGTTTTAATGCACAACAAATTACAATAAGAGGGTGTAGAAAGCAGAATGATACAACTCAGAACTTGAGAGGCCAGACTCAATGGTGGGCTATGGATTATTTGACTTCTTGGAGATAAGTGTTTAAATTTTGGAATCTTCTCCAGATTCCTTGAGATATTTCCACCACCAAACAACATTCAATCAGAGTTTGCAGTTTCAACTTTCAAGATATTTTCGAATTCTCAAACAAGTAGAAAGGTTTTTCCATACCCTTTGTTTGGTTACAAGGCTAGTAAAAATAAAAGTCAAGTGAAAGAAAGAAAATTCAGTTACCATAACAACAAGAACCTGCTATGGTTGAAGTGGATCAAAATAAATGCTACAAGGAACAGATGCATCAGGCAACTCAACATACCTCACCAATGTTCTTGGACCTCTGCTGAAACCTCTTATCAGATCAGAAATTGGGAATGGTCAAATTACCAATTTCTGGTACGATAATTGGTGCTATTTGGGGCCTCTGCCACTACCACTGTTAGCACTTTCATCAACATCAATTCGTGATCTTTCCATGGCAATATCACTCAAATCATCAATTCGTAGTCTTCTTGGATGATTTAGTGAGATGGGTCTCCTTACACTGAGAAATATAGCTCTCGAAATTACAGATTTTTGCTGTGCAAAATGGGTTTAGGCTCTCTGGTGTACACATATGGAATCGTCGCATGTACTGATCGTCTTCTCTGCCGGCCAATGCAGTCCTGAATCGAACCATTGGTGCTCTCAGGGACAGAGTCTCCTCTCAAGTCTCCATTAATGGCATGCCCTAGGGCTTGACCGGACATGAATTCAGCTCCACATATCGAGCACTCGTGAACCCTAGATTTGTTATTACTTGATGATAGAACCCTGTAAGAAATTTGAAGCGAAAGTGTCGTTACCATGTTTGTCGAATTGATCTTCTTCTTGCAAAAACGCTAACGGCTTCTTTTCTCCTCCGGTGGCTTTCCTGTGGCTCTCTAGTGTACAATATGCGTTGTTGCCAGCTGTATTCTGATCGATTGGGAGCTACCGGCTTCTGTTCTCCGCCCGACAATGACGGAGAGGGGCCACGGCTGCAATGAGTGACCGGATTTGTTTTCTGTGTTATCGGATTGTCGTGGGGTAGACTTAGGATTGTTTGGCAACTCGTTTTTATTTTTTATTTTTTTTACCAAACAGGCCCTTAGTTGTTTCTCTCTTATTTCTTTTATTTTTGTTGTATTAACCCAAATAGCAAAAAAGAGCGGCGGAGTGGCGGGAGTGAGAGGCGTGAGGGTAACAAAATTGAGTCATAAATAGTAAAAATTTATGTCAGAATGTGCACGAAGTGTGAGAGCGAGAGTAGGTTAAGTATTAACTTTCATTTCATCCTAATATTATATATATATATACACATATATAATGATTTGGATGGTATGAAAGGTATGAGAAAATATTTGCTTTACTTATCTATTCTTGTATTAAATACTACAATAGCAAGAAACACTTGGAGTTATAACATTTTATTATTATAATTAATATAATCAATTAAGCAGACTAATGTTATATGAAAAAGGCAAAGCGTATAGCAGCCGTATTGCTCTAACATGAATGAGATGTCCAATTTATGGGTTAGACAAACATGGTGGGACACAATTCTTTTCCACTCACATTACTTTCCCATGTTTTTCCTCTTAAACAAACAATGAAACAGGTGTTACTTTCCTCATTCGGTAGAAAAGAATTCCAAATCATTCATTGGCCTATACATTATTTAATGACAATGGTCATGCATGAATGGAGAAGGCAAAGTCGTTTTGGTTTCCACTTCGTTTCTTTTCTTCTTTTCTGGCAGAAACACTGCACTTTTGGGTATGTTTGGCATCTGCATTTACATCGTGTTTTTTATTTGTACAGTGTACTGTAACCAAGGGAAAGGACAAAACTTGTTGGTTTATTATCATTTGAATAGTATCGAAATATTTTTGAAAAAAAAAAAATAAATTTAGAAATAAAAATATATATATATTTTTGATTGCTTATGCACTAGTAGCAAAAGCAATATTTATAAAAAATAAAATAAAAAATTCTAAAATAACATTTTTAATTAATCATTTAATTTTTTAAACTTGCAATATTTTTTATCAAACATATTTTGCTTCCAAAAATCTTGTAACAAATTTACAGTATCAAACAAGCTTTAAAATAATGTTGAATGCACTCTAAAGAAAAACACTACTTCCATTTCGCTTCAAAGTAAAAATAGTTGTCAAACGAGCCCTTTGTTATTCAGTACCATAGACTCTGCTTTATAATGGGCAAGGCAACTATAGACTAAAAAATTGTTTTTCATTTGATGGCACAATACAAGAGAACAAGGAAATACTTTGTAAGAGATGTCTCCAACGCTATCTTAAAAGTCCTCAAACTCAAAATATAGCAGACTTCTTTTACTAATATACTCCAATGATCGGTTGTACAATCTCTTAAAATATAAGAATCTCAAAAAATTTCTCATATATAACATGTTGCCATATGTTGAGATACTGATACTTTATACATGGGATGGAAAGTCAATAACACATGGATGAAATGTACCATTGGTGCAGAATTACTAAAATATAGCATTTTGACAGTGTAACTCCTCTTAAGATATAATTTTACGACAAAAAAAATAACATTTTACATTGAAGATGCTGTTTGAGGTCTCAATCCATCCAAATTTTTACAATTCACAATCACAACAAAGGGTCACTGCCATTCTCAAAGGCCCCATCAATATCCAATCCAATTCAGGTACATATTGTCAATTAAATAAAAAATTAAACCTGCCCAACCACATTAAGTTGAGAATACAATAACAATAAACAGATTTTGTATTCTTGATTTAATAATGATGTATGAATATTATATCATATAAATATTATATTCTTGATGTACTGTGTTGCATTCTTAGAAGCCACATAATTAGGATCCAAGTCTGATAAACTATCACTAAACCCTCATCTACAGTACTTATCATCAGATACTATTGCCTGCAGATTCATTTTCTTGAATGGTCCATGTGTCTACTACCAACACATAACATGTAAATGCCAAGGCCAATTCAGGACATGGCATATATTATGCTGCCAACTGAATTTGAGAATAAAAATTGGAACTTGAATTTGACAATTTCTGCTAATAAAGAACATGAATGAATTCACTATCCATTTCCCAATCCATCTTAGAACTAATTTAGCCCATGGTTCAAAGTTGGGGACATTGTGTAATGAACTTAAGAGTCGTATCGGATGTAACATAAGAGAATCGATTATTACAGTCGTAAATTTTATTCTTCTTGCACAACATCAGTTGTGTTGATTCGGTCAATTCTTAGAAACTCGACCAAGTCTTGTGTGATTCTAATTCTCATTCAGTATCAGACTTGGACACAACTATATTGCGATTGGATATGACTCAAGAATAGACTTTTAGCTAATGAAAAGGGTCTTATCCTCAACAGTTTAGAAGGTCTCTCCCATCAAGTGAATTAAATCAAAATCAACTTTTGATGTGAATGGCAAACACATTTCTTGTACTTCTTGTAGTAAGAAAGCATTGGATATGAGGTTTGAGGTTGGTCCTCTAGCACTTTGTTTGAGAAGGTCTCTCCAATCAAGTGAATTAAATCAAAATCAACTTTTGATGTGAATGGCAAACACATTTCTTGTTCTTCTTGTAGTAAGAAAGCATTGGATATGAGGTTTGAGGTTGGTCCTCTAGCACTTTGTTTGGCAAACCCAACTCTATTTCCATAACTCAAATTTAATTTTCCATTTAAGAAATTGTATCCGCATTTATCATTTTTATTTAACGACTTGCATAAATATAATTCCCAATACATGATTTTATTTATTTGTTTTCTTTTTTAATTGTGAGTTGTTATAGTACCAAATAATAATGATCAGTCAATTCAAAGAGAAGTGTCCATGAAACAAAGTGCATGATCTTTTCATTGTTGACTTTTCTGGTGTATTTGAAACATTTATACATTATTCATTTTCTTGTGTAAATTAAAAATAATTTACATCTTGAACAGGGATTAAATGGAATGGTCAAATAATATTATTAGAGGTGGGGTCATAAATGTTGTGTATCACTGTATCATATGGCTTTTCCTTCCAACCAACGGCTGTAGAAGTCCAATGACTCTCTTGGCTTGTATTCAGGTACAGTGTGTCCTGCTCCCTGCACAATTTCACAACAATAACATTATATATATATATATATATATATATATATATGCAGAAAATAAAAATATTTACATGTTATTATATTATTGGGCCACGTATCCTTTATAACATTAACAATTAATAAAAATAAAAGTAAATATAATTTCTTTTTTAGGTGAGACAAATGATACCAAATCTACTACTCTTTTACAATATTTTAAATAAAAAAAAAAGTTTAAAAAGAATATAACCTATTAAATGGGTTCCATTAATACCAATTTTATTAATATAGTCAAATCATATCATTACTCATAGATTTCACACATTAATGCTACTCAAGCATGAGGAGATGAGTTTGTTAAAAACACAAGCCAATAGGCCCCAAATGATGTTATTTCATCAATATTCATATTATCAATTTTATTTTGTTTGGTTATTTGACAATGACAGCAAGGTCAACTTCAACAATAAAACTTAAAACTTCGTTCTTATTTACCCACCAAAAAAATACAAAATTATACAGCTAACACACAATGTTTGGTTGTTTTCGTTAATAATTCTTTTTAGGTTGAATTGACTTGATCCAAGTAGACACATGTCAATTCTGATTTGATAAATAATGTTGTTTATAATTGCACCAAGTAATGATGTCTTGAATAATTGAATAATTTTATGTTATATTTGGTAGCATCGAATCGGTACTTTGAATTTAAAATTTGTACTAAATTTTTTTTAATTCCAAATTCAAAGCGCGGATTCAGTGCGGCCAAACATAACATTATAAGATTAACTATAACATTATAAACAAAATTTACAATTTCTGTGGTACAAACCTTGATGGTGAGATAAATGAGGTTATTAGCATATCCTTGTGTGTACCTGCAATAGAAATTATAGAAAAAGGAGGAACACACATATGATATCCACTGTAACCAAGTGATCTGGTCCATGCTTCATTCCCAGTGTATGGAACACACATATCATTATCTCCACTGTAACCAAATTATATAAACATGTATCATCATGTTTGTGCATGAAAATGATGACGTTCACAATTGGTATTCTACAAAAGAGAATGGTTTTCTTGTTCCGAACCTATAACCTTCATGTTATAATAGAACAATTTTACCGATCTGCTAAAACTCACACTCTAATACTACATACGGGTTGGACCAAAACTCGCCCTCACTGGTATTCCATATTTGTGTCTATGTTATTCCCTAGTCAATTGTGTATGCTTGCACTTCACTGAATTTTTTAAATTTTGAAACAACACAATTACCCTTCAACGTATAAATTAGAATACTTTTTCTATAATTGTAGATAGTGAAATAAAAAAAAATTAACTGGACTGCACAATATTTTGATATATATTTCAACTCAGATATAGTCTTTTATGTTACACGTGGTCATATATTATTTTACTCCATTTCAATTCACATCAATCTTAATTATGAAATAAAAAGACGAGTACTTAATTTACCTGAATATAAGTGCACGATAACCCTGCATGGTTAGGTTTTTGTGGAAGTTAATCATGCTTCCAGCATCACCATAGTAATATAGAGAGTTACATATGCTCCAAGCTCCACTTTCCTAATTTTTAACAAAAAGCAAGAGAAATTGGAGTAGTCATAAATTAAAAAGACTTCAATTTAGTTTTGAAGAAGAAGAAGTACTAAATGCAATAGAAATTAATTAGTACAAGAAATTAATTAGGAAGTGCACATACTGGACTTGCATGAATTGCTTTTCTAACTTCATCATTGTTCAGCCACACTGTTGCTATTGTATCATCCTGTATATATATATATATATAACCATAATTATATGATCGTTAATGTAGAGAGAAAAAGATTTTGATGCAAGGGAATGGAGATTTATTTTTCCCCTTTTTCGCAAGGGAATTCCGAAAAAGAAAATTAACTAAAAGGGTAAATTACGCTCACATCTGGTAATGGCCAAAGTAACTATTGAA